AGGTTTATCTGGAAACTGTTCCAGGATTTTTTGTCTGTATTTAAGTTTTTGGATTCTCGGTGAATATGTACAATATGTCTGTTTTTCACTGTTATTCTAGGGTTTGAAGTTTTGATTTTTGTGTTTGGATTCCTGATTTAATTGTTTTATTGGTTTTAATTCTGTTACTGATATTTGGTGAATCTTGTAAAAGCCCAACAAGGGACACGGGTTGGAAACAACAGCTCTAAACCCTGAGCAGCACATGGGTTTCATGCATGAGAACTATGTTAAACTGAAATGACTTCATGTACCATGTTTGAATCTGGTTCATGATTTCTTTATTGTTTTAAACATCAGTTTGATTTCTTGTGATATTGTTGAGTCTTTGATTTCTGTTTTTTTGGGTAAAAGACGTTGTTTTGTGATCCTGTGTTTTCAGTATTGTTTAAGTAGGTTGAGCTTTAGCTTTATTGGATTGTTTGAGTTTTGATAGTTTACAGTTCGAGTGCTAGTGTTTGTTATGTCTTGTGTGTTTGGTTCCCTCAGTGTTACCCTGTCTGTTCCCTCTGATTCTGTTTCTTTGATGACTGAGTCTTCTTGTCTCCATGTTTAGTTTTGTCTTTTGTTTATTTCCTTTCCCAGCCAGCCCGTCTCCCTCTTTGTCCTTGTCAAATTGTTTGTCTATGCTCTCTGCTTCCTGTTTTCTGTAATTCCCCATTAACTTTTTGGATGGTTGTTTTGTGTACTGACTTACTGGCTTTGCAAACAGCCAACAAATATCTTGCTTTTGTCTAACACTGACTGCCTTTGTGTCCTGCATTGTGGTCCTGCTGTACACTCCACCTCACAACAGTAATGGGCCATGACTGAGGCTCAGGTGCATACACAGTTTTAAGAAAAAGAACTGTTCATGTTTAGGCTGTATCATTACTCTGTCAATGTTAGGCATAAAACACTAAGTGAGCCATAAAATAACAGGCTAATGTTATCTGGTAACCCCAATTTAACAATGAAATTTGTTACACTGTGAGATTTACTGTAAGAGTACAGGAAACAGAGTTATCTAATTAGTTTATATTATCTCGACATGCTTAGAAACGGCTCGAAACATATTTTAAAATATTTAATTAAAATATTAAGTTAAGGAAACGCTCACTTAGGACTGATTCTATTTCACGGTGACAAAATAAATGGAACCGAACGTAATGTGTGACTCTAACAGTGTCTCAGATTTTCGTATATTATTACAAACATTATAAATGCATGAGATTATAATACAATTACTAATGTGTCCAAGCTGAGACGAACAGTTAGGCTGCAGGCTCCTCACTGAAGGAGTCACAGAGGAGATTTTTATGTCAAAACTATCACGGCGTCCTTGCCGTGTATTAACCTGTATGCAGCTCCACACAGGTTAACACACCTATGGCATCATATCCGAAAGTTAGGAAAATAGATTTTACTGCTAAGTATGAAACTTTGAAACGTATTTCATCAGTTTCAAATAACTCATTTGGGTCAGATCAAAGCAAAATAAGAAGCTGACATCTTTCCCCATGAGACCTGAACACTGCACCACTTCTGGTTATGCCCCTCAGGTATGAACTGCCCAATCAGAAAAGAGGCTACGGACCTCTGGGCCGGTGTACAGCCATGATTAATAGACTTAAAGGATGATTTACAGTTCCAGCAAAAAATGAGAGAGAATGAAAGAAAAGGAGGTTGTGTTCTTTTTCCCCCCTTTTCTATTTTTAGCCACAAACTGAACTCAGTCGGGATGTTCAGTTCACTAACAGGGAGGAAAAAGGAGGCGGGGTTAATAACCGAAGACGTGACATGTGAATTTATCACATCGACATGTTAATTTAGTGAGCTAACCTTGTTTAAATCAGTTTCTATTCAGACATGAATATATCTGTTATGGACCATCATGGGCATACTATTGCATGCAAAACCACATACAATGCAATGTGTAATTATAATTTATACCATTGGATAGATCTATAAATTCTTAGACATTTCTGAACCTGAGGCATGCCTCACTCATCACTGGGGGATTTGGCAGGCAAAGCCTGCCCCCTGGGCCTTATGTTTGACACCCCTGTTTTAAAGGCTTGTTGTTTACTAATGCCGGGCTCACACTGCGATTTTTTCAGTCGCGCGATTCAGCTCCTGCTCAAACTG